TATATTTATATATTTTTTCATTCCTAACTCATTCAAATTTTTATGGAAGAATCATATTTCGTTCAACAATAAACAATGTATTTTTCTTTACGCAGACTATGTTGTTATTCAAAGATTTACATTTGAAAAGACACAGAATGTTTTGTAAGAGCCTGCATATTATATTAAGGCCCTGATGTCTTTAGTATTTAGCCCTCGATTTGTTATATATTTTAAGCTTGTTATTTTTTTAAAACAATAGCATTTATTTATGACATGACTGATCGTGAATGCGTAATGAGGTTCACGTTGCATTCTCAGAAAACGAGGTTTGCTGTTTTTCGTAATTTTCGTAAATTTAATTTCGCCGTTACACATTTGAACTAGTTTATCTACAACACTTGTATATCGTTACAATGGGGCCTCACATCAGTGAGGGGGCCGGTGTTCAACTGAAACCGTTGAGAGGAAGGCCCAAAAATGCATATTCTCTCCTGATGACCCCAGTTTAAATATAAATTCGAGAGGAAACACATCAAAATTCAGTGATAGACATATGCCGTAGAGAAGCTCGGTGGAAGTGTCATTGGCATGAGGAGCATTACATTCAGCTCGCTTCAGGTGAGTTTCAATTACTTTCCAGTAATATCCTTTTATATATATATATATATATATATATATATATATATATATATATATATGCAAGGTGTATCAGAAATACTTTTACACATTTTGTGGGCGGGTTCTTCAAACGGAAACAAGCACAACAGTCCGTATAAACAATTGTTCAGTAAATTTTTCGTTTTGCATTTTTAAGTTTAACGAAAAAATTACGTTAGATGTCGTTACGTTTTTCATTCGTGTACATTCGAGCTAGTCTGTCTTCAACGTTTAACGTGTTTAGTAGTGAGTTAACTGAGAAGTGTTCTGCTTAACAATGGCAGGATATTCATATTGTTCGCAGGCAGATACGATTTTTACATGCATCCGCGTGAATGGTAATGGACGCGAGTCTGCACGGCTGTATCAGATTGCTTTTCCAGACCAAAGGCAGCCGAGTCATACAACCTTAACTGCTGTTGATCATCCAGACCTGATAGAGGATGTACCCCTGCTAATACGAAGACGCACATGGTTCATGTATGATAGTGACGCCGCACATTTTAGTCACATTGTTCGCGATGCGCTGGCTGCTATAGACCATGAAAGAAGGATAGGTAGTGGAGGACCTGCATTTTCTCCCGACATCAAAAATTTCTCGGACATTCAGGTCGGTAAATGTCGTTAATACTGTTTATTATAAACAGAGCATTTGTTTGAATTCTTGTCTGTAAAAGATCGTATAAGCATGGAAGATGTCTAGAAATAATTGCAGATTTTGTCCATTTCATAATATATATATATATATATATATATATATATATATATATATATATATATATATATAACTTTATGAAAAAATAGGTAATCCGTATGGGTAAACCTAAAGTGAATAAAAAAGTGCTGTGGTGAAATAATTCATTAAATGTAACCTTAAAAATTGGTCTGTTTTTATTTAAATTATATATATATATATATATATATATATTTTTACTGAAATATATATATATATATATATATATATATATATATATATATATATATAAATATATTTATATATCTCTTTAAAAACAATCTTCGACTCCATAATTCAAATTTCTCTCTGTTAAATTTTAATCCCCCTTCATCTTTTAGACCTTCCTGTTCTTTTCTCATCTGTTGGCCTCCCTATAGCTTTCCTTTAAGGAAAGGATTCGACCCATCGCTTCTGTTGTGGATTCCGAGATGAAATTCGGTCTCCAAGGAATGACAGACGCAATAATTAAAGATAAGAAATAAAATGTATTTACACAATCATACAAAGGGTAATACTGTTAGTAAATCCAGAAACGCGGTTAGTAGCAATAACATATAGATATATACAGTCTCGAAGTAGGACTTCCTTAGAGTCTACGTGCTTGTAACTGACTTCTACAAGCGTTTACCTCACACTATTACTCTACCTCCAACTCAGTCAAAATCTCTCTCTCCTTACGATCTCAACTCACTCTCTGACTGACTCTCTAACTCTGGGTATTTAACGGCAGCAGTCCAAGTACACACTGGTCGAGTCCACTTATATGAAAAAGGGGAGGACGCCATAACACTCTCATACATAGACTCTCAATAAATTTTATTTTTTATTCCCGGAGATGTTTTTTCTGTTTTCTTTTTGAATTTGTAGGTCTGATCGTATTTACGATTCCAATGGAATAAATTATGACCATGGAATATTAGTGTTTAAGCCTTTTTATTATATCTTTACTCTGTCCTGGACATTGAGTTCTACCTGGATTCTATCCTCTTGGAATTATTTTTTACGCAAATATATATGTATGTGTATGTATGTATGTATATATATTTATATATTTTAGACATATGATTGCATATGTATGTATATTACCACTAATACTATATATATATATATATATATATATATATATATATATATATATATATATATATATATAGAGAGAGAGAGAGAGAGAGAGAGAGAGGATTAATTAAAACTTGGAAATAGGAAAAGTAGAAAAAAATAAATGTATAACACCGAGCCTAAACCACACACAATGTAAGGGAAAAGCAAAAAAAAAAACCCCAAAACCAATAACAATTAAAGAATCTATCTTAAGATACAAAGTGCTGAATAATGCAGAAATATCTAGTGAGAAAAGTGGCCGACGCTAGAACCGGAATCCAATGTAAATAACAGAATTGGATATGGATGAGAGGCAACTGAATAAAAGATCGGACTGGTTGCCAAGTGGAAACATGTAAATAAATATCTACTGTGCCACCCAACACGCGCATCTGATTCCTCGCCATTTCTGTTTGGTTGGAGATTTTTTTTCTCTCTGTTAATATATGCCCATATATTTTCATTTTATCACATACATTTTTTATTGTTTCTTCTTCGGACGGACGATTTTATTTACGTTTTTCATTTTTCCACTTATCCCCCGTTGGATATATATATATATATATATATATATATATATATATATATATATATATATATATATATATATATACATTTGTACGATCCGCTAAAAATGAAACATTGGTAGATTTGTTCATGGCTTCTAGGTTTAACTAGGTCTGCTCTACTTACCGTATTGAGCACTTTATTTAGTTATTTTGCGTATTCATATCGAGTTTTTTTCTTTTTGGACTTTGGACTTGCATGCTAGACGATTATTTTCGGCTGACGTACATGTTCTTGGTTCTTTCTTTTTTTTATATATTTTTTTTCCCTTTTATTAGTTTGATTATTTGCAAATCAAGACACCAAAGGTTTTTCCGGACGAGTATAATTACTTATACTCATAAGACTATTACTACTACTACTGATAATAATAATAATAATAATAATATATATATATATATATATATATATATATATATATATATATATATATATATATATGAAACACACATTAATTTTCTTTTACCTTTGAACTTTTAAAATATCTGATGTGTTTGCATTCATGTACATATACATACATATATATATATATATATATATATATATATATATATATATATATATATATAGATAGATAGATAGAAAAAATACACATACACACACACATATATATATAAGTAAGTTATAATCAAATACGGGTATCCATAGTAGAGGAGTAACCGATAGTCACGGCTATTCTTAGCCGAAGTTTTTCAACCTCTGAAGAATTTTATCAATTTAAATGTCTCATAGAACGAAATTGGTCACCAAGAATAACTTTTCCTTTTGTCTGATTATTAACTTTTTTTCCTTTTTTGCAGATACATTCGTTCTGCTGAGGGAATGTATCTGTAAAAAAAGCACTATTGAATTCTAAAAACAACTGTCACCTGCGTAAATGCAAAGCTCTTCACTAAAATGAATGGAGCACTATGGCTGCTTGACGTTTATTTACGTTTGTAAATTTGGCTGACTGATTCTGTCAAGTGAAGATGGCTCAGTGGTAGTAGCTTTGACTGACACGGAGATGTAGTTCTACACAAGGATGCTAAGGATATCATAGACTAATCGTATGAGCAACGATGAGGCCTTAGATAGGATGCAAACAAGGTGGAGATTTAAAGCCTGGAAGTGGCAGCTGAAGTTTCTGGTTCGTTTCTGGGATATATAATGAGGGAGGAGGGCCTGGAGAATAGGAGACTCACGGGAAAGAGAGACAAGGGAAAACATCGCGTGACATACCTGGCGGTGTTAAGCAAGTGGATGACAGAACCTTGCCTGGGGGAGGAAGCCGAAGGAAGAAACTTGTTGAGAGCTTCAAATGATAGAGGGAGGTGGAGAGTCATGATCGCCTACATCATGAAAGGACATGGCACATAAAAAAAAAATTGAACAAAAAAGGAATATTAAGTAACATCGCTTTCTACCGATATGGAAGGTGAAGTTCCTTGCTATATCTTTTTCTTTGAAATTAATTTTCTGTTTTTTTTTTCCGATGCCAATTCATTATTAATTTTAAGTCAGTGTAAGATACATCGACGATCAGTAAAATTTCCTTGCTCGAAGATTACATTCCCGATTACAAAATTGCCCTTGAGAAAAAAATGAGTATTTATCTCCCTAACCTATCTATGGGTTAAATAGCAGGGTCGTCTGAGAAACCTATCCTTGGGTAGCATCAACACTAGAGTTTTAGTTAATTAATTGAGCAATCGATTTTTTACGGCTTATCAACCTTTTGCGGATTATTTAAAGATTATTTTTAAATTGCAAGAATTTTTGAGAGTTCATACTGATTTATGGATACAAGTCCTACTAATTAAAATCATAGCTGGGTAAAGAAATAGTGGATTCATACTGTTGCCAAAGGGTATTTGCGCGTAAATGAATCTAAAGAACCCAACTGGATATGGAACACAACTCTCCGATTTCCAATACCGTGTCGCTATTCATTACAACTACTGCACCTCCAATCTTACAAGATCTTGTATTTCCAGGCGATCACCCAGCTAAGTACTGACCAGGTTCGACGTTTCTTAACTTCGGTGGTCGTACGTGGACTGGTGATTCAGGATGATACTGCCGTAAGCTCTAGATTTGTCGTCTTAATTCTAAGCCATGTATAAAACAACGGGAAACAATTTTCCGCAAAGTATTAACTTCAATTCCTATAGAATAAACAAAAGGAAGATGTGGGCAGCCATAATCATCTACCTTCACGGGGGACATTGCATTTAAAAAATATACTTTCTTTATAATAAATTACTTCCTTTTAGGCTCTTATTGCATCTCCTCTTACTTTTTGTTGTGTCGGAAACCTACCACCCCCCTTGAAGATGAACTTGTCTGTGAACAAAGACTTTAAATAGTGGCATGTCAGTTGACATGGAAGAAGACAGATAGACAGAGAAGTTCTTAGCTGAGCTCGTTATTGACTACTCAGGCGATTTCTGTACCTTTTTACCAACCTATTAAAACCCTTTTTATTGTTCCGTGTTATTTGGCGTTTGTCTCTACTAACCCCTAATCAACATCATGACACTTTTATACTGTTGTGTTACCGAATATACGTTAGGAGGCCTTGGTAGTATCTGGGCGCCGCTATGTTAATCCAAATTATATATAATGAAAAAAGAGACAGGTAGAAGATGTTTTTCTAGAAAGAGAAAATGGTAACAATGTACAGAAATATGTTACATTCTTCCGTGAAAAAAAATAGTTGAAATTGCAAAAGGCTGTCTTTACACACAAGTCTGGTACACCCCGTTGCAAATGGTTATGTCCACCGACGAATCAAGTGTCTAGCAAAAGTGTGTCCTTAGTAAAACCACAGCTCAAAGAATTAGTCATGTGGTGCATAATATTGGGGATAAGGGTTTGAATGTTACTTCAGCTAGTGTACTGAGAAAGATCGCTATATCAACCAACGAGACAAGTGTTTAATAAAATTGTGTCCTCTGTAAAACCAGGGCTTATCTGATTGGCCTTTAAGAATCTTATGACCAAATAAACGTGGTGCATAATATTGGGGAAAGGGTTTAAAAGTTACAGCTTGAACTATTGCCTGTCAGTGTCAGCTGATGTTCAGAGATAGTCATTACATCGCTATATCTACCCACAAGTAAAGGATCTAGCAAAATTATGTCCTCTGTAAAACTAGGGCTATCCTAATTGGCCTTTAGGGATCACGTGACCTGATAAACGTGATGCATAATATTGGGGAAAGGAGTTGAAAGTTACACTTTCAACTCTTGTCTAAAACGGTGTCAGCTGATGACGGAGGCTAGGATCAAAGTGTAGTACGCTGCCTTTTCAAGCTTCAACATTTAGCGTCGAACTCTCTGCATTAGCAGAGAGGAACCCGACGGAGCTTTGCCGAAGGGCAAGGTTTCGTTCAGGGAGGTAGACAGGGCCTGAAACCCGTCTAGGCGGGTTCAAAATAGGCGATATATTTGGCCGAGCCTACGGGCTCAAATAAATTATACCCACATAAAACCGGCCTTTGCATACACTCTATCCTCGTGGGTGAATCGATAAATTTGAGTTGTAATTTTAATCATTTATCGAGTCAAGAGTCTATCAAAATCCTGTACTATGTCAAACCAGAGAACCCCTGCTTGGCCATTACGGGTCTCATGACCTGATAAACATGGTGCATGATTTTGGGGCAATGGACTGAATGTTACCCCATGAACTCTTGCCTGTCGATGTCAGCTGGTGTACCGAAGTAGTTATTATATCGTTTGGACACCTCGAGGCGGTGTAATGGTTAGCAAGCTTGTCTTCCTAGAACATTTATGACTGAATAGTGAGTTCGATCTTCACTGGGTGCCTCATACTTTCGGCCTTGTGCCACATCTAAGCTACACTTGGAAAATTACTAGTTATTAGATCGCTATATCTGACCACTTGCCAAGTGTCCAGCAAAATTGGGTCTTCTGTGAAACCAGGGCTCCGTTGATTGGCTTTTAGTGATCTCATGGCCTGATAAGCGTGGTGCATAATATTGGGCAAAGCGTTTGAAAGCTACTCCATGAATTCTTTCATGTTGGTTTCAGTTGGTTTACTTAAATCGTTATTAAGAGTTTACCGCAGATAATTTCATTGAAGCGGAGTTCCGCTTTTTGAGTGATTCTTTATTTGTGGAATTGTGCTAAAGTTATCTTGACTACGATTTTCGTATATGGTAAAACACAAGAAGAATACTGAAAGAAAGTTTGGGTGTTTCTTAGGAATTGTCTCTTTTAGCCTACGGTAAATATCGACAATGACAACAAAAATATTATTAATCGAAGGAAAGACATATTTCAACACAAGAATGTTGCTGAATTTATATTAGTGTCGACTTGCGATCATGTTTCCTATTTTTTTTTTTTTTTTGCTTTTTAATTTAACGTGAATATTTTCTGATATTAGAATCGACTTCTAAAATATTAATATACATTCTGACGCTAATGACTGCCGGAAATTGAACCGCTGTTCGACGCTGTATATGAAATTTTAATTCTGTTTATTTGTTAACAATTTGTTTGTTTTATTAAATCTTGCAGATTTATTTTAATGATATTTCCCCCCCGGAAAATTAAAAAAAGAAAAGAAAAAGGAAGACATTTTAATTGATTTGTTTCCTATTCGTTTTGAAAAACATAGCCAGAGAGAAAAAAAATGCGAAAAAGAAATGCCGACCAGATAATGCCAAGCCTGAATATTCTTCAGTTATTCATTAGAGGAAATATACCTAGACTCAAATAAAATCGAAATGGAAAAAAAAAGAGAAGAAAAAGCATCGAAAATACAGACGAAAACAAAACAGCAAGATTATATGGTTGGAAAGAAAGTTCCTGCAGATTTAAAAATAAATTTCATGTTCTACAAACTGAAATAACTTACTTTCCAACCAGATATTTTGGATTTTTTCCTCTTAGAAGCGAGAGAGACGTTGATCCTTTGAGGAAATTTACCTCCGCCCCGTTTATTAATGTCTCATTTTTTGACACTTTAATTCATCTTACGATCAAACATTTTATTATAATCCCGGTTTATTGCTTAGTGTGAAAAATTCCGAACGGCCCGAGTATTAAGATCCCTCTCTTGTATTAGACAACGAATAGTAAATCATTTCAAATGTATGTTCCACTTATAAATTTTATTTTTTATGCTTTTCCCAAACATTTCAGAGGATCTATTCTACTAAGTGTAACTTAGACGTTGTACAAAACCACATGGTGTGGATCGAACTCGCTACACAGTTGTAGTTAGATTTAGCGAGACAAACTTGCTAAATTGGTACTCCATCGAAGTATCCTGGAGATTCATTTCAAGGATTTCATAAGCGAGAGGCTTCCTTTATAACGCATATGAGATCGTGCAGCAAAAGCGGCTTTTTGGCCTCGATCAAAGTGTAGTATCTGCCCTCGGACGGATGGACTGCATTTCTTCTCGTAGTTCGTGTCTCTGTTTTCGGACGGAGCGTGACTCGATTATGTCTCTGCCTTTTGACGAAAGCGGCTGAAAGTATTACTGATAAGTTCCCGGTTTCCTATGGCGGTGATCCATTGTACCGATGATCGTCAGTGGTACCGGTACAAAAGGTGGTTCCGAGGACAGGGGTTATTTTTAGAACTTCCCCGTTACACGCGCTCGTGTTCCCCACATTAAACCGTCCTTATATTACATGCTTACCTGCGTGGGGCAGCATGACAATACAAGCAACAGTTTTGTCTTCATCATTATCTTTCGATCCTAGTCACAGTGCCCGCAACAGCGTGGCAGTCCCTACGATCCCAGCACAGCTGCTACCAACCAAATCTTCACTTCTCATCCCCCTGATGACTCCAGGGAAAGTTTTTCCTTCCATGTACACCCTTGTCCTAATAAATAGAAGCAATCGCTTAAGTTTTCTTTCGTTCACCATACGGTCTGTTTTAGACCCACTGAAGTGACAAGGTGTAATCGATTTCTATTTTATATTCAGATGAGGTTATTTGAAGTGGTGTGCAGTAATATGAATCTATTTTCGGAGTACAAGGGGAAATTTGTTTGGTCTTGAAAAATATTGCGTCATCCGTGATTGTAACAGATTTTTATCTCGCCCAGACACTATTGTCTCAACTGTCTATTAGTTGTTCTACGGTCATTGTCTGCGATGGACGTTACTCCAAGGAAGCGTAAGAAAAATGTAACACTGCACAAATACACTGGCAAGCCTTACCAGTGAGCACATCACAGCACTATAGATTGGACGGGAAACTCTCCTGATTTAAATCCAATCGAGAATCTGTGGTCAATCTGCAAAAAACCACTTCGTAGATTGAACATAAGAAGTACTAACATGTTCACTGGGTCACGTTTCATTGGAGAAATACGAAAAAAAAAAAATAATAACGGAATAACGGAATTATTCGTTTTGTGTCAATTAATTTGCACAGGGGTGTAGTTGAGGGTTTCTGAGGTCATGTGATCAGATGACCGCGTTCTCTGCTCTCCAAAAGCTTTCCTAGCTTAATCTAGGGAGGAGACAGGAGATCCATTGTTATATGTCATTTTTCTCCAGCAAATATTTTTTAACTCGCCGTAAAACGTTTGTGTAGGTACCGTCGAAACTTTTTTTCAAGTTTGGCTGACATTGTTTGTTTCGGAGACATATAGGGGTATTGACTCAACTGTGAGTATAAATATTTGTACCTTAATATCATCTGAGGTGGTACAAACCATATTTTTCCAGAAATTAAAATCATTTCAGAAGAGGACATGTAAAAGCCTGGGTATGTATTCGTCTTAATAGTAAGGCTGTCATTGTTAATAAGAGTTATCATTTTATTGAAAAGCAGAATTCAAAGAAAACGAGTGAAAAGGTGAACACTATTTACATTATTCGGACTATTGTCTTCATCTTTGTTGCTATTTTTATTACAAAATGCAATGATAACATCAAAAATTGCAATATGAGCAATGGTAAAAATGGTTGCTGAAGACATTAAGTTTATAATACCCATAAATTCATACACAGCTGTCCTCAAGGCACAGTGGATAGAGGCATTAGTTAGATCCAGTAACAGGACCCAAAGAAAGTGAGTTCAATACCCCGTCAAGGCAGTGGAGAACTTTCAGAGGGAAATCAGCAGGAGATAACTGATAACTGACATCCATTAAACATGGCACGTGGAACTAAAGCAATCTACCCCAGTGAGCGAAATAAAGGCTTCAGTTCGACATTCCAACCAGCTGAAGAAAGACCGGAGCGTAGAACGACCGAAACGTTGTAATAAAAATGGCGACAAAGATGAGGACAATAGTCCGACTAATAAAAATAGTGTACATAATACCTTATATCAGAAATATAGACAGATACGGAAAATGTCAAATTATTTCGATCAAACGAGGAAGGTATAATATGTGACCAACCAAATATCAGTTACTGATAAGGCAAGTTGGTCGCTTTTATGATTCAAAATCACGTAAGTGTAAGTCAAGTTTCACGATTACGTGTTTTTCTTTCTTTTGACGACGTGTAAATATGGATAATCTGACACGATCTCTGCAATCATAACATGCAGTGGAATAGATTCCTTATTTCCAATTGGAATAATTCCAAATGTGATGGTCAATTGTTTTTTTTTTAATATTCTGAACAGAATTTCCTTTTGACTCTGAAACTAGATCAATGAATATAACATATATAAAATAAACTGTTCTAAACCCGTCAGTGAGTATTATTTTCTTTTCTGATTTGTGTAACTTTCTTAATAGAGGGTGTGACATAAATACCTCTCATATTTTAAACGTTCACTCGTGTAGTGACAGTGAACTTAGTAAAGTGGCAATGGTGTGTCCATCTAAATAATGTTTTCCTATTTCTTTTTCTATACGATGTGGTTGCTGTTAAAAAGTTTTAAGGCTTGTGAATCAGTAATTGCAATATAGAGATCTTTTCGTTCTCATTTCATGTTACGTCGAAATGATGCTGTTCCACATACAAAATCGATACTGCTATAGGTTGGAAATACAGCGCTTAAAAGAAAGCTATCTGGAAGACCTCAAAGCACGCAAAAATCCCGGGGATTTAGAACTTTAGAAAGCATCTATAACAGAGAATGGTGAATAGAGGCCACTATTTTGATGATGCCATTTGTAAGACGAAATCAATAAAAAAAATGTATCCCTTTGTTTAAACACCGGGGGATTTTTTTTGCTAGCAGTTACTTTGGTCTTTAAAACGTAAACACAACTGGAGGGTTGTGACAAAAAGCAACAAAAATAAAGTATAAGAAAAGTAGTAAAAATCCTAGTAAAAAAGAAAACTAGTAAAAGATTATTGTAATTATTAGTTTTATATATAATATATATATATATATATATATATATATATATATATATACACCTAGTGAGCCAGACAAACCTACTTAGGTTTCACCTAAACGGATCGTCAAAATTCGAGGGTTTTTCGAAACGAGTATAGTTATCTATATTTGTATATATATATATATATATATATATATATATATATATATATATATATATAGGTGTATTTGGATCTTCACAAAGGTTTGTACAAAGTTTTAACACTACTATAATCAAATAATTTGTACAGGTAATCTAGCTGTCAGTATCTAGGAACTGAGTTGCTTGACCCACATGTGTCGACATCGACAGGAAATTCCAGTAATATATATATATATATATATATATATATATATATATATATATATATATATATATATATATATATATATATGTGTGTGTGTGTGTGTGTGTGTGTGTGTGTGTGTGTGTGTGTGTTATAATCATTTTTAAAAATATATTTCCATCCCTACATTGAAATTTCCATGTTTCAAAAACGACCTAAAACCTTACAATTCAATTATAGAAATTAAAATAAATTAAAGTATATAGTTCTGTTTCCTCCTCAAGCGAATATTGGAATAACTACTTTTGAAATTTACGGAGCTTTATAAGCATAATCATTTGTAATATTAGTTTCTATGGATATTGAACAAACCAATTATTTTAATAAGGGGCAATAGGGTGTTCATTTTCATATTAGTTACTTTCGGTTATGTTGATAAGGTTTTAGCTCCTGTTTTTGAAACATGGCAATTCCAATGTAGCGATGGAATGATATTTAAAAAAAAATGATTATAATATAGTCTCTACTTGTATATCGAGCACTGTTTTTAAAAAAATAAAAACAAAAATACTAAAGAAGTTCGGATTATTAACCTAATGGTTCTTTCCTATTTTTCAATATATTTGCACACACACGCACACAAACAACACACACACACACATATATATATATATATATATATAATAAATTATCCTATTTGATCATATTAATAATTATTTTTAAATTTCACCTGTTTTTATCTTTTTTAATTTTATTTTGGTGTTGTACGGCAAGAGTGTGTTGAGGGGAACACCTAACTGATTGCTCTCCTAGCAACTAAGGGGCGTAATTGTCAAGGTGGGTAAAGAGACAGGAGGTAACAAAAATAACACTGGCTCGAAAACTGCAGCAGCTTTAGGAACAAAAATGCCCACGGGACTGACTTCACAGAACACTATGTCTTGCAGATTGCTGGTCTTTTCCCTTTCTTTCATTGCCATGAGGCATCTTATAAAAAACTTGATACTGAGCAGTTTTAGAGGCCCGTATCTAGACATACCAAGCTGTCAAGCTGCTAAAGGAGAAAACCCGGTTTCAGCTAGTGTTGAAAAACATGTCTGCAGGTGAGTCTGTAACGACGCGGTTTCGCCAGTGTTGAAGGCAAATTTTATCTTCGTCTCTAAATCAACTGAAGGTGACTGTGCCGAATGAATTTGCCATAACATAGTAGAAAATGGAGAATAGCTGGCAAGAAATAAAACATATAATTTAAACTGCTTTATTGAGTGTCAAAAAGCGTTTATGGAACTCCTGGGGAAAAAGCTTTTTTTTTTTTTTAAATTTGAATATTTCTATTAAAAAAAACGCATTAGTCGTATTTTAATTCGCCTACGTAAGTCTCCATTAAGCAAAGTCAACGTCCATTACATGCCAAACCACAACAAATGTAAAGTACGCATGCGCGTCTGTTTAAAGTATCGAGTGGATCTCACCAATGGAATACGAAGGGAATGAGGGTGGTCCGCTACAATGGGCGTGGTAAGACAGGTCTTAACCGTGAAGATTAGGACTGTTGGAACGAATATAGTTTAACTGAACATTTTCTATGGAAATAGCGATAGGGTAGTCGGGTTTAATAAGATTAATTCGTTTTATACAGATTACTTAAAGCCAAAAAATATTTTTAGATTGGAAAAATTAGGGATGGGGAAATAATAATGGTTCTAGTGATATGAGTCTTAATAATTAAGCCAGAGGTGGGGAGAGAAGAGATGGAGTTGTACCTTTTCCTAGGGTATACTTACCTGGCGTTATGCTGGGGGTTTTGACAAATATTGGATCGTTTCTTGGCCTATGGATAAGATTCGATCAAGACTTCGACTAGCTTGGACTGGCTCCGGTCTGGACTTGCTAGGACAAGTTATGACCAGCTTTGACTAAGCTCTGACCAGCTTGGACATGCTATGACCAATTTTGACCAGTGGCCTTTGAGTGGAAACACTCGGGTTTCCCACGTTAAACGACCTTGTGTCACATCTTGACCTTGTGGGAGTCAAGTAAATACCTTTTCCTAGGGTATTTGAGCGTTAATGAATATAACAAACCCAAATGGGATTTGAACTCGGTTTTCCGATTAACAATTCCGAGTTATTATCATTACACCACCAGCACATTCAAACATACAGCACCAGGTTTTCCCAAGCGGTCACCTATCTAGCTATTGATCAAGCACTGAATTGCTTAACTTCGGTGATCCAACGGGAAACGGATTTTCAACGTGATCTGGTCGAAAGCCACAGCAGAGCCAAGCTTGTGATCTTTTGTCTGCGGGAAAGGATTTGTAATGTCGACTTAATTCGTCATCAATTAAAGGGAATGAAGGTAATTCACTACAATGCGCATAGCATGTCGGGTCTTAGCCGTGGATGTTAGAATTGGTGGAACTAGGGAATATATTTTCCCTGAACACTTTCCATCGAACCAGTTATAGAGTAGCGAAAGGCTTGCAATGTTTCGTTTGTGGGAAAGGCGCAGTCGGTTGTAAAATAATTAATCACCCACAAAGAGTCATTCGCGTTTTTGGACTCTATCCAACTCGGAAGTAGAGACTGCGCATGTCCTGACTCTATGGCAGTCGTGCTCCATTTTCGGCCTGATCTGGCTCTTGTAAAAATAGAGGATAGCACAAATAATCGGCCTGTTACTTCGTTAATTGCTTTCATTACCTCTGCTTTTGGTCAGGTTCTAACAGTAATTAACAAAACAAAAAAAAAAAAAGAAAAAAGTAAACGCGAATCCGTAGACGGAGGTTATTGCCAAAGAGAGTGTTAGTTTCTATTGTAAACAATTTGCAAAGTAGCCCTAAGGATTAGCAACATGAAAAGCGGAATTTGTAAACTGAATAGAAAAACTCAGATTTTAATGAAAATTTTAATTTCTAAGACACCATATAGAAACGAAAGATCAGAGAATTAACACTCACATGACGTATTGAAAGCAAAAACGAAAACAACTAATAGCATACCTAAGGAGCTAGGTAGAACAGGGATTGTAAGTGTAGGGGATAAATCCATCTACAAAGGATAGGATGTTGTGGAGAGTCGTGACCGGACACCTCCCTAAGGGAAAAGACGTATAAAAGAAATCATTTGTTCTGTGCTACTCACTACACTACAGTTAAAAATTTTGGGACCCCACCCTGCATTTCTTAAAAAAAAAAACACCTTAAAATGAGATATTTGTATTTTCTTTTAAAGTAAAAGATAAAATTTCAGTCAACGATGCCGTAAAAATTGACGGGAAACCCTGGTTTAATACAATTTTATCTTTTGATCCTGATAGTCGATTAAGAATGATGTTAAATCAGTCAGTTATGTGCCATGCGTGATTCACGCTTAGACGCTTGACGAGGCAGATTTTTTTCACGCAGTAGGTTGCCATTTCTTTCTGCAGTAATATCATTTATGTAAACGACGTCTTAACCAGTTTGGTCACGGAAGCATAATGGTTCATAAGTTTCAAAATTTACAATTACGTTGTAGACTAATGGTTGCAGTCGTTTTGTTTCTTTTTCCTTCTACGATTTATTATTTTCATTATTAATTTTATGATTTGTTTTTTAAAAAAATGCTGACTGACAGGCCCGAGAACAAAATTAAGATGAAGAAAACAAGTCATGACATTAATCAAACAATTCATTTCGTTTCTCACTCACTCTTCCGCGTTTATACTCTCTAACTCTTTATACTCTCTAACTCACTCTCTCATTCTGCCATACATACTCTTACTAATTCTCTCTGTCTGGCATTCTCTATCTCTCTCACTTTCTCTATCGCTCCCTTGCTCACTCACTAATCAATTCTCATTATTCATTACTCGTTAAAGCAATGATTTGTTTAAAAGTATACAGGCAACTCATTTAAATAATTCTTTTTTTTTCAAGATATGGTTGATGAAGACTCTCCCCAACTTCCTGTATAATAGGCTGAACGCATCCTACTTTGTCCAATACATTTTATTTCTTTCACTTTCATTCATTCTCTCACTCGTTCTCTCTTACTCTCTCTCCCTCTCGGACTGTATTACGCACGCTTATTCTCTCACTCTATTTCTCTCATCCATTCTGTTATTCGCTCTCTTTCACTGATTCCCTTTCTCTCTCATTGCCTTTCTCAGCCATTGTCTCTGTCGCTTAAAATGAGACAATACTTGTTTTTCATTCAGTCTTCATTGTAATTTCACTGATATTTACTTCACTCAACCATTTATACTTGATCTTACTCTCTCCATCACTAATTCTCCCTGTTACTCACTCACTTCAGATGTAAAGGGTGATTATCTGACAGCCGTATCTTAAATACTAAAGAGTAATTTTATTCAGTAAAATAACCATTGGTTTCGACCCGGGCCTCCAGAGGACTTTGGAATCTCCTGCAACTTCTCTGACGTTATGCTTCCATTCATCTACCCACGGGGATACAACAAGAAGGTGGTGCTACCCTGGCTCAAAAGGGTAGCTGTTGGAAGAGCCTATATCTTGCAACAGGAATTTGCACCATGCAGAAGAACACAATCATGGCTGTCAGACAATTTCTGCGGCCTCATAACCCCTTACATCTGGCCATCTATCTCCCCAGATTGCAACAGCACTTGGTTATTATGTGTGGAGCTCAGCTGACCAACAAAACTCCTTGTAACACCAAAGATAATCTAAAGGTAAGAATTATGGCAGCATTGGCCAATTTAAACAAGAAGAATTGTGTAGAAGAGCTAGAGGAGATTCCGAAGTCTCCGGGGGCCGTGATTGAAGCCAATAATGATTTTATTAAATAAATGTACTCTTCAGTATTTCAACATATTTTTGTGTAATTTTGGTAAATATCTCTGTTAAAATGAGTCAGTATTATGTCAGTAAAATTTCAATATTATTTTCCTTTTTACATTATTTAAACATCTTAACCATTGCACCCTATATATTACTAGTGCTCATCCTATATAAGGCCAAAGAGTCACTCGAGGTAGAGGGTTACTGACAGAGTTTCTTGTTTGAGCAGTTCGAGTAAGAGGTAAAAGGCGTATTTTATGAAGCTATGTAGGTAAGATAATCGTTAATCACAGATTTGATCAGGTTAAGATTACTGTGGCCGGGAAGAAATTACAATCGATGTATAGAGGAGAAACTGAGAATCATAGAATTCAAGAATATGTTTGGATTAACGAACAAAATAATTGGAATTATTTCGAAATTTTGGCAAACGTTTAAAATACCGAGACGCTCAATGGTGTTTTCATCATCTCCGAGAGAAAATATCCAACTTCAACTTCAAGATAGATATTAATTGGCAGTTTGACAGTAGCTTTTTTTTCAGACGTTATTTACGTTTAATCCAACGTCAAGGTTTACTATTCATGAAGTAGTTCTCTTCTGCTGCTTCCATCAAATTAAAGTATTAGGATTTTCAAAATGATCATTCAAAGATTCTGTTCACTCTTAACTGTTAATGATGAGAATTTCTTTGTCATATCTGATGATGGGATTAATTACGACATTTCAAAGACTATTAGTGAAAAAGGAACGTAATTTTTTCCCTGAATGCAGAAAGAATGAGATTCGTGCCTTTTCGTTCTTCATCAGCTATTATTGCTGTTGTGGTTTCCTCCCTCTAAAGAGTCTATGTTGGACTCTTCCGCCTACTATAAGATTAGTAGGAGAGAAGGCCTTGGGGGAACATTGCTCTAGCCTGTTCAACTATCGAACTCTCTATCTTTGGCAGACAGACCCTGACCCGTTTAAGCGGGTTCTAAGGGAATATTTTTGGCCGAGCCTACGGGCTCGGAGAACCCACGGTTACCTCGGCCTTGTGCCACATACATCCCTCGTGAGGTGATGTTAAATATTAACAGTCGAACAGATCTGTTTGCATTGTGCTGGTCAAACTCTCTGTCTTCGAGCAGAGAGGATCCCCAGACCAGGCTATGTCGAAGGGCAGCGTCTCGTCTCGGGAGACAGGTATCCGACTCCGTTTTATGGGTCTACGGGGAATTTTTGGCTGTGTCTACGGGCTCAGATTGTCCCACATTAAACTCGGCTTTGTGCCACATCTTACTTCGTGAGGAGGCTGTTAAATATCAACAGTCGAATAGATTGAACTCTGGGTCAACCGACACACATTCACTAGTCTTGTAATACTCTTCTGTTGTACTTACTGTTTAATATATGATATATCTGTAACGCTTGTTTTGTTATTTCTTTAACCATTTACTTGGGTCACAATAATTGCTGAGGTCAAAGAAATTTTCTAAAGGTGTATTCCTGCACAATTGTAAGAGAAGTGGAAATAAAAGAAAAAGTCATGTATACCCGTATATTCATCAGATCGTTTTTCTGGGGTAGCAAAGATGAATTCCTTCCTTGCCGAAAGGCATTTGTGCAACAAGCAAGAGACGAACCTGGACACATGAACTTGCCTAACCGATACCAAATTCCAAACCGTTACATCAATGATATGGTGATTTTCTAAGAGTAGATTAAACTTGGTATAAAGCCAAAATTATGGGGCACCTAGTGAGCATCAATATCACGACTCAGTCGTAATTGCTCTTCCGAGATGAGTTTGCTAACCCTAACACCATGTCGGGGTGTCCATGTAGATTCGAAGCAGGATTTCAAATGCTTGCTCATTATGGGGCAACTAGTGACGATCTCTGCGCCTTCTCAGCTGATATTTTCAGCTGACCCGAAGCGGGAAGATTATATTGAATCAATTGCTAGATCTGCTTCTAGGAAAGTTGGTTCACTGTATCGCTTTAGACATTTTTTTCCTCCCCAGAATCCATCATATGTATTTATGTAATTTACCATTCGCCATTGTGTCGAATATTGTTGCCACATATGGTCTGGTTCTCCTGGAATAGATTCTTAATAAAATACAAAAAAAAAGTATCCTCAATGTTATTGGTGCTGACCTGGCATCTCCACTTCTGTCACTTTCCCACCGGCGTAACGTAGTATCCCTGTGCTTTTTCTATAAAGACTTTCACGGTAATTCTTTCGGTGAACGTTATGCTTTGTGACCTAGACTTTATGAATTTAAGCGCAGTACTAGATTGGCAGGTGGGTCTCATGATTTTACAGTTGAAATGTCTAGATGTAACCGTAAGTTCTATGCTAACAGTTTCTCGTCTAGCACTTCTCGCCTGTGAAACTCTCTTCCGGGTTCATGCTTTTTAGCCAACTCTGATCTTCTAAAATTTAAATGCAATGTCAATTGTTATCTACTGTCTTCTTAATT